TATACTCCTTCAATCCCAGTTATAGAAAAGGTTATTGGTAAAAATCTTGATAATATAAATCCTGCTGATCCAAGATTAATTAACTCAAATTACTACTATATTCATCGAATCAATAAGAAAGCAGAAATCTATATCAAAATGATATCGAACTAGCTAATCTTGAAACTAGCTCTAGTATGGATTATTATAGGCTTTAGGATATATAAAAGATTGTTATGGAACTCAAATGTTTTATTTTTATTGAACCCTTTATTACTATTAAACCTCCTAAAGGAATTGTTTAATACCTTATGAAATATTTGATAGAGTATAAACAATATAAAATTCCTTATAACTAATAGCTTTGTTTAATTTTGTAAAGGTTAAGAAGCTTATATTACAAAGATAATATAAAATGAATTAAATAAAGCTTATAAGTTATATCGGATTATAATAAATGATTCTATTCAATTATACTATAGTATTGTAAAGAATGATATCGAAAAGTTTATGGAAAAGATTGATTGACCTATGCTATTTGCAATTGAGATCCAAAGCAAACTTTTGTTTTGACTTTGTAATCTGTTTGCTGGTTTTTTATTCTTTTTTGCTAATAAGCTTTTGTTATAATGCTTCTGGGATTATAAGATTGAGATTATATTAGATAAAGAGCCCTCATATAATAAAAGCCGCTTAATGTCCCTAGCCGAATTTTAAGTTATTTGTAAGTGGCTCGATAATAATCTAAATAAAGGATTTATTCGTAAATTTCGTTTCCGATCAGCTGTTCTATTCCTTTTAGCTGTAAAGCTTGGGGGGGGTGTCTGGATCTGCCAGGATTATCGAGAACTGAATAATATTATTATTAAAAACCGTTATCCGCTGTTACTGATTAAAGAAACCCTTGACATTCTATGCCATGCTAAAGTTTATATTAAATTGGATATTATTATTATATTCAATAAACTATGGATTGCAGAAGGTTATAAATAGAAGACCGCTTTTACAATCCGCTTTGGCTTATTCGAGTTCCTGGTAATACCCTTCAGCCTTTGTAATACTCCTGTCTTGTTTTAGAATTATATTAATTATATTCTTTTTGATCTTTTGGACAAGAATTGCACAATATATCTAAATGATATCTTGATTTACTCCGAGAATACTATAGATCATCGAAAACAGATTCGCGAAGTCGTTTGGAGATTTATCGATACTGGATTATAAATCGATATTGACAAATGCAAATTCGAAACAAGAAAAACAAAGTATCTCGATCTAATCATTACTCCTAATAATATCAAGATAGACCTTGATAAGGTTAAGATTATTCTTGAATGGAAATCATTAACTAAGCTAAAAGATCTTCAACGTTTTCTAGGGTTTGCTAATTTCTATCGATACTTTATTTGCAATTTTTTTAAAATTATGGAACCTTTGAATCTTTTATTAAAAAGGAGAATATATGGAATTGGACTATTGATCAAGAGAATGCCTTTGAAAACTTGAAAAATGTTTTTGCCTTTGTTTCAGTCCTTGTAATGTTTGATTATCATTGCTGTATAGTTATCGAGACAGATACTTCCGATTGAACTGCGGGCAGAGTATTTTCTCAATATAACAATAAGGGCTAACTACACCCGATTGCATACTTCTCCTCAAAACATAATACTGCCGAATATAATTACAAGATTTATAATAAGGAACTATTAATTATTATCAAGTTCTTAGAAGAATGAAGACCCGAATTATATAGAACTCAAAAGCTGTTCGAGATTATTACTGATTATAAAAATCTAGAGTACTTTATATTGATAAAAATATTAAATCAAAGATAAGCTAGATAAACTGAATTCCTGGCTGATTTTAATTTTCGTATTATATACAGACCGAGTCTTAAAGCAGTTCGCCCTAATATATTAAGTAGAAAAGCAGAAGATCGCCTTATACACACCGATTCTAATAACGACCGAATCAAGAATCGCTTACAAATAGTTTTCCCGAAAAAAGTATTCGATATTGCTATATTCAAGGACCTCATTTGACAAACAAATAACAATATCAACCTCACCGTAACGCCTATGAATATAATTATCCCCGATACTGAAAAGCCGATCAATAATCTTATCAATAAAGTATATGAATTATCCGAATTGGTTACTACTATATATAAAACACTTCAGAATCTAACTGCTCATTATTGGCCACTATCAATCCAAAAAGATTTCTGAATTGCTCTTCAAGACTATAGATTAATCAATAATAAAATTTTCTATTACAATTGCTTTTTTGTTCCCCCCTCCACTAAGCTTCGCACTCAGATCATATACCGAATACACTTCACTGGTCCGATAGGATATCCCGGTCGAGTTAAAACTATTGATCTTGTTTCCTGTATATACTGATAGCCTAATATATCAAGGGAAATCGAAACTTATATACAAGCCTATCAATTCTACTTCCAAACCAAAACTTCTCGTTTTACTATACCTGGATTCCTAGAATTCCTACTAATATCATTCCGCTTTTGGTTTGACATCTTTATTGATTATATTATATTGTTATCAATCAGCAAATGCTATAGTAAAAAGTATCAATATATTATCACAATTGTCTGCCGCCTAACGAAAATGTGTTATTTCATCCCGGTTATAGGATTGTTCGCAGAGAAGCTTGCCGATCGATTTATTGAAAAAGTCTATTGTTTATATGGTGTATTTAATAATATAATATCCGATAGAGATTTACAATTTATATCAAAATTCTGGAAGCATTTATTCGAGCATCTATTGATCACTTTGAAACAATCCTCCTTATTTTATCCCGAATTCGATAAATAAATAAAAAGGATCAATATTATAGTAGAACAATATTTTTAGGCTTTTATAAACTTCTATCAAGATAATTAATATAATTAGTTTTTACTCACGGAGTTTGTACTTAATAATATTATCTTAGAGACTACCAGTATATTCCCATTCTTCGTTAACTACAGTTTTCATTTATACCTCAACATTGAGCCCTTTTCACCTATTCCCTCAAATCTATTATATCAATGCAAATGCGAGTTCTTAAAGGCTAACGAGATTGCAAACCGATTTGATATTATTCTAATAAAATTGAAAGCTTTAGTTACTTAATCTATTCAGAAATATAAAGATTATGCTAACAAGATTTGTACCAATACTTCTTTATATAAAGAAGGTAATAAAATATAAATTAATACTAAGAATATGAAAACCAATTGTCTGATAAAGAAAGGTGATAACAAATGGGATAGTTTTTATAAGATTCTAAAAGTTTATAAACGAGCCTGTCTACTTCAGTTTCTTATTAGTTTTAAAATCTTTCCAGTATTCCATAATTCATTACTCTGATCACTCCATTGTTTATCTAAACTAGCCGATCAAGAAGTAATCAATGAAGTCAAATCCTGTTGAAATCAAGGCTGTATTCTAGAAAGAAATAATGAAATAAACAAGGAAATCAAGCAATAGGAATTCAATAAACTATTTGACTATCATAATAAGGACGGATTTCATTATTAAATCAAATGGAAATATCACTCAGTATCTTGGTAATTCGTCAAAAACCTTTGTGGCCAGGAAGATACAATTATCGTTTTTCATTTAGCAAATCCAGATAAACCAGAACTGTCTGTTTGGGTAGGCTTCAAAAGATCTATTATTTCTGATCCCCCACTAGTATTTATATTAAGTATATTCCTGAATTGAGGTTAAGGTAGATCTAAAAAGCTCCAGCAATTGATTATTATTCCCAAGAAAGTTTATTTTAATCTAATAATAGAAATTAGAATATTTTAGTGTTATTTTGTTTTCTAAAAAGTTAATTGGTATTGCGATTGTGGACCGATCGCTTTGAGCGAGAGGTACTATCACAGCGCCAACTATATGATCTGTAGTTGCCTTTGTGTTTCAGGTATAGTATATTAGTGCGCCCTATTTTCTATAAGTAGGGCTTCACTTTTTCATAGCTCTTCTACCCTTATGGTACAATATAAGTCTTTACCCGTACCTTGACATTATTAAAACTCACATCAATCATATCACTAAGGTTGAATTCCTTATAGCTTTTAAAACTGTATATCAACAATCAATTACAGCTCAGAATATAAAAGCTGGTTTTCGAGGAGCAAATTTAATACCATTCGATCCTCAAGCTATACTCTCGAAATTGGATATTCGGATTCGTACGCCTACCCCTTTATCCATTAATTCAAACACTTAGATCTCTCAAACACCTTACAATCCAATTAAAGCTCTTTTACAATCAATTCTAATGAAATCTTAAATAGCTCGCTATCAATCAAACTCTTCTATACCTATATTTGAGACTATATTGGCTTTAGCTAAAGGTACAAAGAAATTAGCTTATGAGAATACACTTTTAAATGTAGAGAATTATATATTTCGAAAAGCAAATAAGATATTAAGCAAACATCAACACACTAAAAAGATTCAATTATATAATAGAGGAGTATTTATTGAATAAAAGACTAAAGATATATTATTTTAGTAAGAGATTGATATTTAGATTCAATATAACGAATATCAAAAAGAAGAGAATTCTAATAGAAAAGTATCTTTTAATCAATACTATAATAAATACAGAAAGACTAGATATAATACAAGGATTTATTAAAATAATATAATAGATTCTAAATTATTAGATTTTTTATAATTTCAATCAATTGATTTAATTGTTATTGAATAATATAGCTTTAGGATAATAATTCGAGGTAAAAGTGGCCGATCCATTGATATGGCCGACCCACTGATAAACCACGTTATTGAATTGAAGAATTATTAATTGAGGTAAAAGTGACTCATATAGTGATATGGCCCACATACTAATGAACTACGTTATGTAAATTCAATCTTGCTCCAGATGTTTCGCGCATTGACCATGTTTTTTTTTCTGTCAATCAGGACCCATCCCATTTATGAAAGTGTGTGTCCAAATGGAAACATTGTAATGGGCTTCCTAAGCTATTCCCATTTCCATCAATGCAGTCCGTTGAAACACGGTAACCACTCATTTAGTGCTTTTGTGAAAAGGTCAAAACCAGCTTCGAAAGGCGAGGGTTGATCTTCAATCTCAATATAGAATGAGGATAAGAGATCCGAGATGTGCACCTGAAGAGACAGTTAGTAACAATTGTGGGCAATGTAATTTCTGTGATAAGGCAGACTTACCTGAGCCGGGTACACTTGTCCGAAAACTTCCCCGTTCGGAGGGGGTATATTACATGTAGGTATTGTCTTTGTAGACTTCCTAATGACCGCATTTGGATTGATCTCGAGATCTGCCTGGACTCCAAGTGTTCGCCATGGATCCATTTCACCATTCGAAAACATGACCTATTAGAAATCTAAGTACGACCATACCACTATACCATGATTGAGTTCTTATCACTTACATTGGACGGTGCCATCTTCCAGCCGCCATATTTATCATTGATTGCGCTGACATTGGGTAACTGAGGTGCATATGGAAAAGTATCCGCGCAAATATTTGACTCTTCGCTCGAAATGTTGTCAAAACGAGATATCAAGTTGAATGGGTTTGTAGTGTTGGAGCTTTGGAGGAAGCCAAATTCGCTACAATATTGCCATTTCCAGCTTACGCCATCTCCAAGTGAAGATGGTGGTAATGAAAAGCCCGACCCTTGGTCTGAATAGTCATCGGCCATCTTTCGATAGATAGCTGATATATATGCAAAAAATGCGGTCGAAGCATTGTATGTGGCAGCAATACCGATTCTTGTAGATGTAGAGCTATGGCTGGTTTGAATCCAATCCCTGAAGGCCTCAACCTCGTTTGCCGACGCACTGTGAGGAAAGAGAACAGAAGCCGATGGATCGTATTGTTCGAGGTAGTTGCAGAAAGATAACAATGCAGAGTCAAAACCATAAAGCTGGAAGTTATGGCTAGTGTGCTGGAAAGGTGTCGCAAGTATCTGGGAAGCTTCCCATAGAGTCATATCAGTTGGCGAAAGCGGAAAGTTATCTACTGAGTGGAGACCTTTGTTGATAGCTGGATTGGCCCGACCAGTCATGTAGATCTCTTGTCGAAGCAACAAGACTTCATCCCGGCTGCCATACTGAAATACCTTATCAGCGTAGTCGACAGCAATATGCACGTCTTTTGAGCAATTGTCCGTCATAGCCTGCTGAATTGGGTTGAAATAGACCGACATATCAACCTGTGCTTGCACTGGTGCCGAGGATGCCCAGCTAGCAAACCATATCTCTGGATTGCGTTGCCGAGCGATTGCAGCTCTGATACCTATAGGTCATAAGGATTTACATCAGTAAATTTCGATCGACATCCGTCTGGATGTCGCATATCGAGAAGCTAAAGGGCAGGCGCTTAGATAGGTCAACTGATCAGTAGACTCACCTGGATAACTTCCACCAATAAAGATCCATGGCGTATTACTTGGGGATAACATCAGCCAGTATTTACGAAGTGTAGATGGCTGGAAATTTCGTGCGAAATAGACAGTATCTTCGAGTGCCTACATAACGGTTGGTTTAGTTCATATAGCGCGTTGGGTCAGACTTTCTTGGATTGAAAGACAAACAATGCAATTCGAGATCGAGACAGTACTAGTTTCTGCACCAGGACCCATGTAGTTAGGTGCCATCTCACGTACCTGTTCAGTCGTAAGATACTTGTAGGCATCAAACCCGGCTAAAGCAACTCCAGTCTTATTTTCAAGCTCAAATGGAAGACTTGCACCATAAAAGCGGTGCTCCCAAAGTATGGCAAGTCCATTGTATTTCTGTGCCAGTGCCATCAAAGCGGAGCGACCCATCGCTTCCTCCAACAGCATAGACACCATGAACTCGGAGATACCATGCTCGCCTGATAGTGAAACACAATGGTCAGCCTCATGGTCTACAGTGAGTGGAAGTTATGGCATAGAAGTACTCAGAGGCATGTACAACCAGCTATTTGTGACGTTATGTTTCTAAGAAATCTATCCCAGGACCCACGCATAGAATTCCGGCAAAGCTCAAATGTAAAGAGAACCAAAGAAATGATTTACCTGTATCGAAGAAAAACACTGGACCTCCTGGCCGATAGAAGGTATCATTGAGCCAATAGCAATTCCTAAAGGTGCGGTTGTCCGAGCTGTTGAAGTGGTCGATTTGCATGTCCAAACCCAATGAGCATGAGGGTTTGGGAATAGAAAATTTATCTTTGTTGACTATTTTTGGAAAAGGATACCACCGAACAATCGTCATCGTCTTTAGTGCCCATTCAGGTGCAGTAGTAACAAAAGGTGAAAGTAAAAGGCCTAGACACAGGCATAATGGGATCATGACTCCACAACGTGACATTTCTTCCTGATTTCGGACTGGAGATGGGATTTCTAATCCGGATCGGTCTAAGTGTGCCAGTGGTAGTCAAGAAATGGAGTGTAAAGACCAGCTTGTGCTGTAGCAAGACTATAAGCAACAAAATCGCTCTTGACTTTTTACTTGGGTAATTTATCTATAGACCTTATATATTTTTATAAATACCTGAGGATAAAACCCGAAATCTTGAACTTAATGGGGGGAGATTGTAAATCAGCTGTAGATCCATGGACAGTAAGCTATTAGAAGAAGCAGTTACAATAAGCCCAACAGCTTATAATCTTGCGTTAATCGCTCGTAATGTATTATTGCTGCATGACTATTTATCGAAGTTTGAAAAAACACTATTAATGAAATTCTAATACATACACATAGTCTTTGCAAAATTGTAAGTAGAAGTTACACAACAATCAGAACTATGGCCTTTATTTGAATTTTGAAGCGTTCTTAGAGGTTGCAAGAGTTAAGAACTAAGAGCAGAGTATGACACGCTTCTTGATAGGACTTTCAGGAGTTAAAACGCTTTTCTCGTAAGCATGTGAATGTACTGAATCGATATCGGACCGTTCAGACAGTTCAATACTTGTAGCACATGATATCGGAATCAGTGCGTAGTAACTGCTCGACGGTGATACTTGGCAATAGTCCTCCTATATCTACTTTATCACTCCGCGAGGCATCTTGGTTTGATCCTCCCCACCCAACACCGTGAAACTCGTAAAATCGTGTCTCCGGATTCCTTGATTGCCATATCCACCACAATCGATCAAGCTGCATGTGTGCCAAAAACCATATCGGATCTGGATTTGTAGTTAGCGTATAATTTTGAACAAGGCCAATCTAAGTACTGCATACCATTCGTCACACTTGTTCTCATCCATTCTCCTTGAATAACATAGGGCATGGATTTATGTGTATCCTTCTCCAGCCAGAATGTGAAATTCTGATAGTCTTGTCGTGCCAACACAGCTTCCACGGCTGCTGGTGAAATTTTACTCATAGCAAGTTCCAGCGTCTCGCCAGTACGGAATGCTCTTGAAAGACAGTGTTGTTGAATATCGCGATCATAGTAAAGAGGCCTCAGCTCTGTAAAAGGGCCATCTGTTACACAATGTCCTCTGCCGACGCTTGCTGCTGCTGAGGTATTTCCACTGCCGCCAAATCCTGTGTGGGGATCCCAAAGTGGTGAAGAATGAAAGTCAGTCCAATCAAGCGTCCAATCCCAGTATGGCATGCTGCCTGTATAATTGCATTGTTTTCGCAAGATTTTCTCGTACGATAGAATGAAATACCGATGCCATGGGAAGAAACCGGCGGTGTCAAGTGTCTCATCGCCCTTGTGAGTATGCACCCATGCGAAATCATCGTAGAGCGTATGGGGGAGATTGAGTATCGATGGTTGAGTGGGGAGGCATTGGACTGCTGAGATATAGGCGTCTTTTTCGAGGTGGCTGAGACTTCGCCATTCACGCCTAGTATCCTGTGTGACGCATGAAGACGTTGTACCATGTCCTGTTGTATAGGGACGGCGGATCGATGGGCTACTATGAAAGCCACTAATAAAACCAAACATGAAGCAGATGCAGACAACAAGAGCCACGATATAGTATCGAAAGTTTAGGATTTTGCTCAAATTTACGTGCCTTCCACTGGATGGCTTTTCAGAAGCATGGTCCAGGTCAGAATCTAAACGTGAAGCCTGAGACTCATTGCTGGAGCCTGGGATTGGCAAGTATTCTCTCCGCTTCGGCATTGACATGTCTATTAACGCATTTGCTTCAATCAGGTTTTCTTCTCAATAAGACGAATATTATAAAATTGGGAATCGAGAACCCAGGCTTTCTTAGCGGTGTGGAGAGAATTCCAGTCTCAAACCTCTTTTGGTAACTTATAGTAAGCCAGCCCGGAAAAATAGTCAGGTGAACAAGTAGCATACTAATGCTTTGGGGATAGGATCGAGTATTAGGTTGTGAACAGTCAGAAAATAATAATGCAATGATTGACCAACCAAAGCAAAGCAAACAATTGTATGCTTTGAGCATTTTAGAAAAAGTGGGTACATATCAAGTAACCTTCAAATCTTCCAATGAGCATAAAGCACAAGGTCTCAATACTACGCTGCAGAATTCGTCGAGAGAAATTTGCAGCAAAGTAAAAGTATTATAGCGTGACTAAGCACTATCTTAGATGGTGTGCCTACCCTACACCCGATTTCATAACGTCTGTCCAAAACGTGATTTTTTGATCTAATGATTCTAGCTAAAATCGATTATTTTATAAAATTATTTTATATATAGCTCAATAACTGTGACGATCCGGCCTTAAGCCTTAATTAGTCACATGACTCACCCTGCCCGGCAGAGTAAATCATTTCGCGTATTCTTGGTCCTATCCTGGTCCTATCGAATAGGACCTATAAAGCTTGTTATTCTCTAGTTACGATAATTGATTCATCTTATTACTATGCCTTGACTCCGTTGTCGTCGCAACAAGAATCTATCAAATTTATATAATAGATTCTAGATTATTAGATTCTTAATAGCTTTAATCAATTGAATCAATGGTTGTTGAATAATATGAATTTGAATGTATCAATTGAGGTGAAAGTAATCCACTCGGTGATGAATCATATTATAGTAAACGTTAGTAAAACAAGAGCGTGAGCTTTTCTATATCCCGACCCCCTGCACGTGTCACGTGAGGCAATTCTATAACAATTTCGTTTGGGGTGAGTTTTTATCTCACTTTCAGACCCTCTTCGTCGATAAAACGTTTATAATATTGAGGTTATTCATGTTCATCTTTTTAATGATATTGATGATATTTTGGGTTGCTTACTAATGATTGAAATTTTTCGGACCAATCAGAATCGAGAGGGGACGTTTATCTACGGTGAACCTTCGGGATACCCCTGCCTCGAAATTAAGGCCACCGTGCGGTCTGAGGATGAGATAAGTGAGTTTGTGATCACGTACTACTTACAAGTCCACTCTCACATGGAGACCACTCTCACGTGTGGTGGTCCGTGCAGTATTTGATCGAACGCAGTGAGCTTTGGAGGTTTGGGGGCAACAGCTACTCTGGTGATCGTGGGCGAATGAATACAAAACGCTGCTCAAGTTGTGCCCGCGCGCTGCCCGTCACTTCTTTTCTCAAAGATGCATCGGCCGCCTCGAACAGTCGAGTCTTTGCAACCTGTCTTTCCTGCCGGAAGAAGGGTACGCGTGCTGATAGAAAGAGGAAGGCTTCACACCAATTGGGACCGGAATCGGTGATGAATACAGAAGCTTCTTTTTCTCCTTGGGTCCCGACACCTGCCATACCTCCTGCACCTTCCCTGTTTGTACCGCCACCTGCAAACCCACTACCCCCCCCCCCCCCCCCTCCCGGCTTTCTTCCCGCTCAACAATGGCAGTGGATTCAAGATTTTAATACTGAGATGGCTGGGATACAGATGGAGATGTGTCATCGGTGCAGGGAGCGGTGGTTTGCGATGGATCTCAAACACGGTACGTGCCACGCGTGCTCCCTGCGGGACAAGCCGAGCCAGCGCCCGTACCTGATGTCGGCCGAGAATGAGATGGACCCAGGAGATATGCCGGTGGATCTACCTGAGCTGACGCAGGTCGAGGAGATGATCATCGCCCGGTCGCACGTCCAGATGATGATCCACCGCTATCGCGGCCACCAGTTCAGCGGCAGTTCCGGTCCGACTTTCGGGTCCGCAAAGGGCGGGTGATCACCTGGCTCCGGTTCTTGAAAGTGCACCACCCTGATTACCAGCACGTGACGATCTCCTCGGACCGCATCGACAGCCTGCCGACGGATGAGGATGTCTCGGCATCCTTTCCCTTTGAGCATTTCAAACATAGTGAAAGTGGCATATCAGTAGATAGAGAGTTGGATTATACAGTTCGATCAAATCAATTACTACAAGACTCGAACGAAGTGAGGCTGGGGGTTTGGGGGTACCCCTATAGAAGAAAAGAAAAGGGTGGATGGTCACACAACATTTGACAAATCGAAAGGAGGCATAAAAAGTCACAATATGACTATCTATATAAAAAATAGAAATGCTTAAGCTTCACCACCAGGAAATATTCTATTTTCGGCCCTTCATCAAAAGCGAAGCTTTTTCTATATGAAATTAACCCCCTGTACGCGAGCAGGGGGGGAGCTATTTGGGGTGCGTTTGGAATCACGTGCACAAAAAACCACACTCACGTGTAGTAGGTCTGTGCGGTGATGGTCTGGTCAGCTTTGTATTGTAGACGCGTCAATATCCAGTTTTGTAACAGGAATGGCTACGAAATGTTGCTCAAGTTGTGCCCACATGCTCCCGATCCCTTCTTATCAACTCCCGCCTGTAGGAGGGCGACCAATCTACTCCTTACCAGGTGCCAATATCGATGCTCTTAAGGGGCACAACCTGTACCGAGCGTTCGATCGAACAATCCGTCTGGTGCAGGTCATGCGGCTACAAGGGGGAGACGAGCTGTCTACGAAATTCCGGTCCGCCTTTAGTGAGTTACGAGAGGGAAGACTCTTTCGGGAGGGCTGGGATCTCTTATGTACGCGTGTGGCTAACCAGCTCCCTCCAGCTGAGGTTGCTACTTTTGAATCAGCCTTACGGCTGTACTTTACAACTGCAGAGGTCCGGGAAAAGAACTTTGAGTGCTTATCCACTATGAGTCAGCCTGTAAAGGTGATGAAGGCTGTACATCAGGGCCGGAACGCTCAAAAAGCAACGGACGAGGAGGCTGATAACCTCTCCTCTGACCTCTATCTTTGCATCGGTGCCAGGGTTATGCTTACGGCCAATTTATGGACCGAAGCTGGATTAGTAAACGGATCTATGGGGACGGTTCATGATATTGCGTGGGTGACGGGGCAGGATATTTCTCAGATGCCTTCCTTTTTACTGATCAAGTTCGATGAGTACATTGAACCAGAGTTTCCGGGTGGTGGGCGTGGTATAGTACCCATCTTTCCGACCACGCGTCAGTTTTAATTTCAAGGGGCAGCCTGTTCACGCATCCAGTTCCCTTTGCGGCTGGCTTTTGCAATTACAGTTCATAAAAGCCAAGGACTGACTCTTTCCAGGGTAGTTTTGAACCTAAATCAACGGGAGCACTGCGTAGGGCTATCGTGTGTTGCTACCTCTCGGGTAAAGCACTTGCATGGGTTATTATTTGAGGGCCCTTTTGGTTTGGAGCGTTTCTCGTCCAAAACATCGGCGACTTCTCGGGATAGGGAACTTGATTACATGTTTAGAAGTGCTCAAGTACTTTGAATAAGGTATGTATTAAAGAAGCGATTAAGTAGTTGTGGACGGTGTAGAATTTTAGTTAGGCTAAATGCATATATACAAGCATGGTCGAACGAAGATGATCGAACGGAGTGAGGATCGGGGGTTTGGGGGCTGGCCCTTATAGAAACAAATAGACATGGATAGATTAGAAATAAATAGATCAAATACAAAAGCTTCGCTTTTATCACTGAAAACATCTATATTTGCGGCTCTTTATTTTTATAACGAAATTGTGACGATTCGGTCCCTTTCGGGTTCCCTTCTTAGTCACCTAGCTTTTAGGATCTTATCCTAGCACGTGATCCTCTTCTTTTATATAGCTCAGGGACTTTAGTTCTTTCTCCTTTCTTCTTCTCTTCCCTCCTTAGCTTTAGATTCTAAAGTAGAATTGAATCCTTTTCGTGACAGCTCTTCACAACAATATATTATACTGGATATTCCAATTCCCAATACAGTTGGAATGGACGATAATCGATTATCATCTTCCCAAAAAAATAACGGAATCCTATTTTCGGGTTCTGAATTATTTTGGGAGTGAGAAAATATTTTGAAAAAAAACCTGTATTACGGAAATGAAGATATAATATGTTCGTTTACGGAAAACGGTTTACAAAAAACGATTTCAAAAGCGGCGGTTATCAAGACTACATATATTCGTTATCTGAATACAAGAATCAAAAACAGGGCTTGTGGTTTAGTGGTATAATGTTCCCTTAGCATGGGAGAGGTCCGGCGTTCGATTCGCCGCTAGTCCAACATCTTTTTGCCTTTTTTTTTGTCTCTAATATCTTTTCTTTAACGTTGGGTTCTTCTTTTGCTCTCCTTCTAGTCCTTCCCACTCTATAAGCTTTAGTGGGAAAGTTCCATCTGATCAAGGGCCTTCAAGTTTCTTGAGAGTCGAGACGAAGAGGATCTCAATTTCGGTGTGTGAAGTCCGTATATTGGGAATGTGTGTCGCTTTGTCCGGAAGCCCGAACCTAAAAGAGACGAGTGGCAAAGTACGTTGAGTAACATCTTTCACGAAGTCGTGACCGACTATAACCTACATTTTTGGGCTCAAATCAACTGTCCATGCAGCCTTTGCCTATGATCTTTACAGTACAACAATTACATATCAAAACTAAAGCTTGAAGACTGCGATTGCATCTATCCAATGTTTTTGTTATCCTTGCAAACGCACCATTGAACCGGATTCGGGATTACCCTACTTCATCTCATCGACTCAAGTTCCAAGTGAGCAATTCTGATCCGCCATGAATATTTCCGCGTTTTGATTCTGAGCAGCGAATTCTTCATAGAGAGACCTAGGCATGATAGTATTCGTCGTATCTCAGAAAAGTTTCATCTAGAGTCTTCTTGAATCATATACCTCTTGTACACAATCCCACCATTACCATTACGGGAGTACTCTCGAAATTAGTGTACGTAACAAAGGTCTACCGCCTTCTCGCGGTTTAGTCAACTGTCATTACAATACAAGCCAAAACTATTACAGCAAAACCTCTCCATAAGGATACCGGTTTTTGTAGTCTTTTTTAAAGATATATAGAGGTATCCTTGTATAGAGATTCCGCTTAGTCCCGATATAGTAGTAATTTTGTTCCGATTAGTTCCGATCGGGTAAGTTCTGTGACATTTTTAGGGTTTCAATAAGAAATCTCTCTAAAATCCAGATATATTAATTATATAATAGTTAATCCTAATGATTCTATTGGTTCAATAAGGATATACGTGATCCTGGGACCGAGAATTATAAGGATATCCTAATAAAGAGGTTTTAAGAATATAGGCCTTTTTTAGGCCTAAATTTTTTTGGGACCGAAAAATATATCCTTATAGAGAGGTTATCCTTATAGGGGGGATCCTTGTGGAAAGGTTTTGCTGTATTGCCTTCCACTCGCTACATAAGGTCTATTGCTGTCTACGAGTAGCCAATGGCTTTGATTTTTTCAGATTTTGTTTGTTTTGTTGCACGTCTGAAATTCAACAGTTCCATTCAGTGCTGCATAATTTTCAATAGTGTGAAATCCACCTCACTACAGCATAGTGGTATATGATTCTTTTCTTTACTTGTTTATTTAGAAGCAGAAAGGAAGTTTCAGACCTTCTGAGATGAACCAGAATCATTCGTTTCTTATATGAGATTCACTGGGTCAACTGCCATTATCGGCAGCAATGTTTGTTGAGAAATATGTTGAATATTCTCCAGATGAGAGGCCAGCAAATTTGGATGTCAAATTTCTATTCTAATATCGGCCCCGGGAAGACTAGGCTTGAATTTTGCTTCGTGGAGGATGGATCCTGTAGGATTGTTCACTTGGAAATATATGAGTAGCGCCCACGAGTGAATGACACTATCACAGGTGAGAGGGGGGAGGGGGGAGGACTTCGTTTTTGTGCTCTCATCTCTCGATAAAGGCCACAAAAATAAGAAAACGTTGTGCTTCTATGAACAAAACTTTGCAAATTGCTAGTAGCGATTGTCACTTGCGATTTGGATTACATCGTACTCGTGATTCTTAGATCTGTAGTACCGAATCTGCTCAAACCCGATGAACTTTACGATTCTCTGATATACAACTAAGTCGTTGGCTTCAGTCAGAACTCTCTTAATTATTGCTATATTCCAGTATAAGTATTGTAAAGTTCAGTAATAGTTTAACTCCTGCCCGAAGTAAGTTGAATTGGGGCTTTCCGGGGTATATTCATTGTTATTGGAAGTCATTCATGAATTTCACATGGAAACCAGAATCTCTACGGTTTACAAGGTAGCAAGCAACTCTGGTTGAAGCTAACAGACAAGCACGCAAGTCTACTAATAGGCGTCAATTAGCAGATTCAACGGCTACAAGTCTCGTTCTGTTGAGCTTTGTGAGAAGATTATTGAAAAGTTGGAGTAGCTTATTTGAGATCGCCTCTCGAGGTATCGATGCCGCCCGGGTTCGAATAAAGCAGCTCGCAAACTGGGGCCCGCCGAGATGAATGCCCACTGCTCACGGCCTCATAGAAATATAAACGTTGGCTTTCGCCGGCAAACCGTTTGTTCTGGGGAAGATAGCTTGATCCACATCTGACTCGATCACAACCCCACCCCGAGAAGAGAAAAATCTATTCACCCCACCAAGATCAAATCAGATCCACTGCAAGCCCTGACGCACAGACTTCGCTTAGACAAGCCTGTTTCTCACAATCCACTCGCACAAACGTCTCCGTTGAAACATCGAAAAAAAATTCATCCTTCTCGACTTCCAATTAATAAAAGGACATCTCAATGAGATGATCGTTGTTGGACTAGCGGCGAATCGAACGCCGGACCTCTCCCATGCTAAGGGAACATTATACCACTAAACCACAAGCCCTTGTTGTATTTGTTGAAGAAATTGGCTGAAAAGATCGGTATATTCCACAAACAACATGACCATAACATCTAATAAGATGATATGCATTGCTCTTGATGAATCAAAGACTCGCCATCGAGCGTAAAGATTACTGCAAGTGCACTATGGTATCATTACTATCGTCACTATTGTTGTTGTTGTTGTTGTTGTTGTTGAGGATATCAAAATTTGCATGGCCACTACGCAGATCTGAAAATTGATGTCTTGGTTCAAAGCTCAATAATTGATGTCCGTAGTCAGATGCATACGCGATTCAATAAGCTTTTATTTTCACCTATAATCATCCTACACATATACACATATGAATAGTCTCTCTGATATATTTAGTTTGAAATTCGAGGAAAAGGCTCATAAGTACAATCCAACTTCACTACTTGCCAACTGGGTGTCAAGGCCTTTGCTTATCCCGAGAAAACACGATGAGGTTAATTATATGTAATCTTGTGTCATTACATCAAAAAGACCGAAGGCAATAATTGTATGCAGTATGCAGGTGACAATCTAAAAGTTATGGACGCCAAAGTCGATTTCGAGTATTACATACACCCTGGTCTATTAGCTCGTCTAATCTCAAAATAATAGGACAAGAGTGAGCTGATAGATGGAACATTAAAGATCAAATGATTGACCACTCTTGCATTTTTGGATTGGTATATACAGTCCAAAGCAGTCCATCCTTTACTATACAACACAAAAACTCAAGCGGCTTTAGCTCACTTGGGAGAGCGCCAGACTGAAGTCCACTTCAGCTCATTAATCTGGAGGCACTGTGTTCGATCCACAGAAGCCGCATTCTGCGAGTTGAGGCCAACCTCAACCAAATTTCATTTTGCAATTTTTGAAGTAGCTCCATGACACTAATCGCAAGCCCCTCTGGACCCAGTTCCCCACTATCAAAATCAATCGCCTGGAATCCCTGCTATATAATGACCCCACTCGGCTAAAAATTTCTTTTTAAATTTTTCTCTTCGAACATCTAAAATGTGCTGATGAATATATAATCCTATAATCAATTTATCTTGTATAAATCCAAGGCTGGATGGTGTAGTTGGTTATCACGTGTCCTTAACAATTAACAGTTGTTAAAATACGGACAAGGTCCTGGGATCGTGCCCCAGTCTGGTCATTATTGTTTTGTTGGTTTTGTCTCTGGAGGCTTGAGATTTAATACATTTTTGGTCACTAGCCTTCTTTCTTCTTTTCGTGTCTTTGCGGTCGGTGGTATCCTGTGGAGTTTTGAAATGAAAAGGGTGTGGAGAGCAAACTCGTGTGGAAAAGGGGCCGAGGGTCTCGAGATGGTGAGAAGAGTGTTGCTCCATATCGGAGAGGTGCGAACAGTTTCATAAGCTAGAGCTATTTGACGTGCTATGTATGCACTCACTAACTTTTAAAACTCTATATATATACTGAGAATCACAAACAATGTCTTTAGATTCGACTGGCTGAAGTTGAGTCATCTTGTGGTATTCATGTTTGAGAGGAAAACGAAATTAACAAACAACTATTTGCTCGCACACTAAGGATGAATATAAGTTGCATGGACAATTAATCTAATGAACATGACTCATTAGTTCATATAATCGTTATCGAAGTAGTTTGCTTGACTGATTCAAATGGATCTAGCCCGTTGTGAAGTTGAGTGAGTCCAATCCGTCTGAACTTGCTATCGCCACCAATGGAACGGGTTTGCTCTTCAACTCGCTGCAATATGAGAGCTATCCCTCGCGGTTCCCAGCCGATTTGCTTTTGATGTGATACCTGTAACATGTATGTCTCTCCGTGTTCGTATTCTGGCTGTCAACCATCGACGTCTAGATCCCCTTCCTCGTAGTAGTGGTTTGTAGAAAAATTTGAAACTGCTTTTCCTAAATTCGATTTCAAAATATGGTCTTCGGTATAAAAGTCTCGGATGTCTCCGGCTAGCATCAACTTCCCACGGACTTTGAGTTTCCCAGATGATACTGCCCCATACGGATTGACACCTTCCACCATACAACTGATATCCTCAATAGTAAAAGAATTATCCGCACGTTGATCTGGGATATAGAAGGTGTTCATGGCTCGACCATTATTAGTACTTTGACATACGACTGACGCCCATGACCATGTTGGTGCTACAAATTTCTCTGGTCTTTTCAAGGAACGAGTGCCTCTGAAAAAATACCAAAGAAATCCCCTTGAAGATAAAGAGCCGTCAATTTTATGAATCTTCCACAATCCAGCAACATATTGAGGATCATGCGAATCCTCAAATCCCTGTGATGAAATTGACTTTGATAATTGATTCAGAGCTTCGAAAGTGCGGCTTGCGATTCCGGAGAGTGCGGGCAGTCGATCTTCTTCCTTCGTTAACTGAAGAACGGCACAGTTTTCGATATTCGAATACCAGTCGTCAAGAATTTTATTGAGCTGTTGTCCATTGTCTTTATATAGCAGCGAACGTATCCTCGCGCCATCTGCAGGGATCATCCTCGTTGAGTTGTGTTGGGGAAGTTCTGATATTCTGGTGCATTCGCACCATCTTTCTGCTCTACATTCCCATACTAACTCTGTCGCGTAGAAGCTCACAGTTCTGGGTGATAAAATGCGCTCTTGGTACACCCATCCTCGCGTATTAAGCGGTGCCATAGATTTCCCATTCCCGTGGAAGAGAGAATGTCTATCATGAGTTGTGCTTAAACTAGGTTGAATGAAGAATGGTCCGCTGCCCTCTAGTTTATGTGCCAACCCTGTCTTATCAAGAATCTTAAGCTCTTCGAACGGTGGTATGGTTTCTTGCACTCGGCTTCCAGGATACTCTGCATGTAGCTGTGCGAGCCGGGTGTTGAATAACTCAGTCTGACTGTCCTGTCCATGCGCAGCCGCTATATTTAAAAGGGAGCCAGAATATATATCAGCCATTAAAGCTGATTGTCGTTCCCAATCAGCAACATCATCCTGTATAATACAGATGGAATCAATCCATATGTATTGTATGTTTAGTCTGTGAGTGAGTAGTACCGCATCCCGAAATGTTCGGGAGAGTGTCGATATATCAATGCCATTGGCGTGTGCACTGTAGTTGTCCAACCTTGTTTTGATAAATTGAGCCGATCCCCAACAGTGGCTTAGTGTGATATACTCGATCGGACGATGTTTGTCAATTGTTCTTGATTCCACTAGTCGAATTTGGCTCTTTGAAATACACTGTTTTACATCGAGAAGGCGATGTGGAATTGATAGTTTTGATGCATCAGCACACTCTTCTCTATGGCTTATACGGCATCTTGATAACCATGAGCTTATGATGACTAGAGCGCTTTCCAAATCGAGATTTGGAACGATATGTGGTGAAATTTTGAATGGATGTAATGGAGCACTTCTAGGAGACCGGCGTGGATTATAATCTGTATTGACTGATCAACGTATATCTATGTTCAGTCTGTTTCTACCACAATGTATTACCAGGTACTTCATAAATTTCCAACCCTTGACATTCATCATCTGTCAACGACGATTCATCAAATAAGATCTGGATGCTATTGCCCGAAATTGTCGCTCTGACTATTCCCTCTCTCATCACAGGCCTATCTCGGCGGATATACTGGAGCACTCCATCATGGATAACTTGACATCTTTTGCAAAGATTATAATTTTTATTCTGGGATGATAAGCTGAACTCTATGTATATATGATAAAAAACGAGAGAATTCGAGTGGCCTAATTGGCACGCAGCGCAGGAGGAACAGGACATCTTGATTTGGATGAAGATACCATGCAAATGGATGTGGAATACTTGAGCAGCTCCTCGAGCAAGAGAAAGTAAACCGATTTGAGCGAAGCATAGCCATTATTGAAACATAAAAGATTCGGGGATTGTGAAAATTTCACTCCAAGATGTAAGAATTATTCAGCCTTGTATGACAATGAACACGTGCACCAATAGAGTCTGAGAATTCCTGACAAATCGACCGAGTGTTTCTCGCATTTTCTCTAGAAATGGAAATTGTGTGTGATATATGATGGAAGTGTCTGCAATATTATTTCCTACAGCCATAAGTGAATTGGGTAATACAGTATGACGTAACAAGGATCAGTATACTATTCGGGCTATCAGAAACTATCGATCAAGGAGACTGTAAGCACGTATTCTGATGTTGAAATGCTATGAAAGATGTTGTAATCGTATTTGCTCAAATCAGCATTGGTAATTCTACTTAAATACTTAAATGGTCGGTCTCCCGATTATCCAATTTAAGTAGAAGAAAGAGGCTTCTTGCTCATAGTCTGCTTAAAGGCTTGCAACGCCAAAGCAGGGGTATAATAAGGAACTTCATGACCAGCCCCGAAGACTCTCAACCAACTCAAATTACCAACAGTCTTGAAGGTTCCTCCAGCAACACCATTTACATTATAGTTTGCAACGGCAGCAGCGTTGAAAGCGGCGGAGCTAGCATAGGTGATAGCATTGGCGGTTGCAAGACCACCGAACCAGTTGCAAATCCAATCAGCGTCACCAGCCCAGATGAGGACTTGAATACCGGATTGAACGACTGTAGAGAGAGTTGAGAGGAAAGATCTTGAATCTGTTTTGATGTTCATTAGCCAAGCGAGAAACATTAAGGATGAAGGAGTAACTGACCATCTCCAGTAGCAGCAAATTTCTCATAAGGAGCATCTGGACACTCAGAATAGGTAGATTTGGCACCAATGGCCTTCACAACTGCTGCGCTTTGCAAATATGCAACATAAGTCTCTGGTGGATATGGATCATTCGATGGCTCTCTAATATCGTAAACATCAAAGTTGCCATTTGAAAGTGGCCCCTCGATATCATCGTAACAAACATCATCAGCATTTACACAAGCTGAGTTGGTACCAGTGGTCGATGTACATTCTTTCAAAAGAGGAAGACATGACTTGGTATATGTATTGAGATAGGATGTGTGTTGAGCAGCGGTGATGAGTGGTTTGTATGTGTTATTGTAGGAGTAGTCGACGTATGCCTTATAGGAGATGATAGGATCATACCATCCGTTGTTGATACCTAAAGCAACGAGATCAATTTTTTCACCAGCAATAGTGCCAGCCGCAATCTTGGCATTTTGTTGTTCGAGATAGTATGCAAATTCTGGTCCATAATGTCCACCATAGGATTCTGTGAAGATACCAAAGTCGCGATTCTCGTAGGCGGGGAAGGAGGCATAGAAAGCTTGGAGAAGTGTCCAGACGTACGGAGCAGCGGTAACAGTGGAAGTCACAGAATCTGTACCGTAGGAGAAGCCTACCCCAATCGGTTGATCAATGTAGATCATGTTTGCGAATTCGTTGAAACTGTATGGGTTGAGAGATGGAGTTGATGCCCCGTTGTAGAATTGACATGGACCATTCTCTTGGAACAACCCAATCATAGAAGAACACCCAGGGCCTATCTCTTTGTTAGTAAAATGTAGCTTATAATGAAGAATATTGCCTGTACCTCCGTTGAACCATGTCGCTAGTGGTGCGGTGGTTGGACTGTTTCGACTTTCAAAGAACCAGAACCACATATTCATGCCCTAATATGGATGTCAACATTGGATTATTCTTTGAAGAATATGCCACGCTTACAGTTCCGACAGTCAAATATCCGGAATACTGGTTCACACCTGGCGTAGTCTCGCAAATGCCAGAGTTTGTAACAAATGCAAGTGTAGCATCGGTGGCGGCATGATAGAAGACAGTATGATTGACTCCATCACGAATCTCGAATGATCGCTTGTCTTTCTTCCCTTCAGTGGTAGGGGCAGCTAGAACAGCCGGAAGAAGACAAGCAACTAGGGAAAGCGAAGGGAAACGCATTGTAATCGTAGTCGAAGAATGGAATTGGAGATGGTTTAACAACTACAAATCTTAATTTTCGCGATTTCTCTCGAACTTATATCTTGTTTCCCATCACTCCACGGCCACCCCATCTCAATGCCCAACGCTATTATGCGCTCTACGACTGGAAAATCGAGATACACACTCGGAGATCATTCCAAATAAAGTAGGTCTATAATTTCAGGTACGAGAAAACTCTCAAAAGCTTAAATCCCCCGCCGGCACTAGAGGGTAAAGTTGAAGAAACCTGGACGATCCTGGAAGGTAATCTCACAAGGTACTCCAATTGCCGTTGATAAGACCAACGCATCTACCCCGTATACAACGGTTAACATCGCATAAATTACAAAGTCCCGAACCTAGGCAGGAGATCCAACGGATATATGTATAACATGCAAGCCAAATGTTATATTTGAATGTCTAAATACCCCAAAAAGGCAGTTGGTGGTGGGCTTGGCAGCGAATGATAAGCTTTTCGTGGCAGAGATCTTTTTCCAGGGTGCCAGATATCGACATTCCTGTTTGGGAAGTTTTGGTGATTTAGTGGCAGGATGTGACTTGTCAAATAGATTGATGCTTGTACTGCAGATGAAGATAAAAGCGGGAGGACTGTGATGGAACCTCAATCGCGAATGTGGAAAATACCGCAGTAAACGACGCTCTCTTGAAGATGTGACAACACGAAATATGTCAGACGAACATTCTTGTGACATACTTGAATTGATTTCACCATCTTGAGACGTATGGCGAGCTCTTTCTATTGATTGAATGCATTGCTTGAATGAAGTTGAGAAATTGAGGTTCCCAATTTACAGGGTCCTCAGCACCAGCACCTTTAGCCGAGCATAGGCTCAGGGTCGTGCGAGATCCACCCGCCTTGGAAAATATTGGCTTCCGTTGGCAAAACGTGTTTGAAAACTTGGCCCTTGGCAATTCGACGACAGAAAAGACCATCAAAGTACTGCTTTGAAGTTTGATATAAAAGGGAAATGATTGTATATATTGGCATTTTTTGTTCTCTTCCTCAAGTCTTGTTCCTAATATCGATGACGATAAGATACCCTGCACATTTTCCTGGTGTCTAGACGATGTAGACTTCACTTCCTCCCAGAATTCCCTGCGGATTTTGTCGTAATATTCCTGCATCTGCCCACAATGTAAAGCTCCAATCGCATGTTCCAATTCATGCGTCGTGCACCTCACGTGAACTGTACACCTATGCAGGTTACTTCCGAAATGAGCAACTTGCGTTACTTCTAAAGATCCATCGTTAAATGTTGTGCGCGGAAACCGAGTCAAAAGGAAGCGATCAATTGAAACACCCAGATCCCCTTGTCAGCTTCAATACATTAAGATGAGTTAGGGACTTACTTGTAGAGCTTTTTATAGACACTCAGAGCATGATCATTAATTGCAGATATTTTCAACAAAAACAGGAATACGAAACAAATAACTCACAATTACAAGATTAAACTGCTTCGGAGTCCGGACCTCTCAAACATATAACTCTTATCCTAGCTCAGTGTCAGTGTGGAAATACGACCCATAAAATATGTGATAGTAGTCTGTCTACCGGGGCTATTGTAAACAGGAGGATGATGTTCTTGAGTATTGCACATCACAAAAACAATGAAAGTTGAAATGAAGTAATTCTATTCAATAAACTAATTACTTTTGCAACCTGGGTATCATCTCCAACCTGTCCTCCACCATTTATTCATCTTATCTATAAATACCATGATCTTTCACCGATCAAGATACGCGAAGATGTATCGTCCCTCCTCTTCAGTAAATCGTAACTTTCAGCTCATCCAGGATAAGAAACATTATTATCCTGGCCAAATACCTAAAAAAGAAAAAAAAAGAACGCCAAGGGTATAATACCATGAATGACAACCAAGCATCCATAATTCATGATATCCAGTTCCCAATCGCGTCCATTACTACCTCTCCCCTCGTGCTAAAATCAATGAAAGTTCATTAATTAATCGTTTCTGAATCCATCATGAGCGGCATTGCCACGGTGATGGGCTTGAGGGACGGCTGCAACATTATCTCCATCGCTGCGGCTCTGTCTTTCTCTTCCCTCCCATTGTGGCTTCTCTTTCTCCGCATCACTCGTACTTCTGCTCTCGACATCTGCGGTTTCAAAGCCATAGTGTCTTGCCATCTGCTCGACCTCAGCTGGAGATAAGTATGGCAAATCTTGAGAAGCCTTGACGTATGAGATGTTTTCGACAAATCCCTTCGCAAAAATGATATCGATTTCCTCGAGAGATCTGCGCTTGGTTTCTGGGTAGAAGAAATAGATAATTGGGATGAAACAAGCGTTGACAACGGCGAAGAAGAGGTATGTACCCCAAGAGATATTGGCAATCATGATAGGTGTAACCATAACAATGGTGAAGTTGAAAAGCCAGTTGGAACAAGTTGAGACGGCGTTGGCTCTAGCACGGGTGCGGAGAGGGTTAATTTCAGCTGGGTACAACCATGGTAGTGGCAACCAAGTGGCTCCGAAGAAAGCAATATAGGTGAAGAGACCAACTCCAGCGCCCTTGGCACTTGGTCCTTTTCCATCTTGTGGGATAAGACAAGCGAAGACGAGGACCATAGAAAGACATTGTCCAATAGTACCAATGATGAACAACTTGCGACGACCAGCTTTCTCAATAATGAACCAAGACACAGTTGCGAAAATAGAGTAAACAATCATGTTGACACCTCCAAGGAGAAGAGCCAAGTTCTTCGAGGTACCGATAGAGGTTTCGAAGAGAATTGGGAAATAGTAGATAACTGCGTTACATCCACCGAGTTGTTGGAAGAATTGGGAAGATGATCCAAGAAGCATACGGCGGAAATGTTGGGTTTTGCCTCCAGTGAAAAGAGCTGAGAAAGGGGTTTTAGTAGCGGCTCCGGATGCCATGATACTGTCCATGATAATAGTCTTCTCCAATTGAACTTGGGGATCGTTGTGTTCAAGACCAGAGAGAGCGGCAATAACATCGAGTCCCTCTTCGTGGCGCTCTTTAGCTAAGAGCCATCTAGGAGACTCTGGGAGGAAGTAAGTTCCGACAATGAGGATGACACCAAAGAAAATCTGGAAAGCAATTGGGAATCTCCAGGTAAGGTCATCTGGTCCATAAGAAGCACCATAATCGATCCAGTAAGCGATCATAGTTCCGAAAGCGATAACTCCTCCTTCAATACAGATGAGCAAACCACGGTTGGTAGATCGACTACATTCTGCTTGATAAGTGGGAATAGTGGATGTGTTGATTCCGTTTCCAATACCAGTGATAGTTCTTCCAATAATAAATTGAGCAGTTGCGTTAGAGCCTTTGATGGCAGTAATTTGAATAATAACTCCAAGAATCATGATAACTCCACCAAGCATCATCTGCAAAATTTCAGTCAGAATTTCTTATCTTATCGGAGCAGTCCGGGGATGCGGGGAGATGGGGTAAAACTTACGGCTCTTCTTCTACCAGTGGAGTCACCATACCACAAAATGAAAATAGCACCCAGTAAACATCCAATTTCGTAGATAGCTGTAACGAAACCTTGGTAAACACTGTCATCTTTGGTCTCAGGGAAGTAGTTGTTGAAAGGGTCTGCGGCGATAATTCCTGACATAACACCTTGATCATATCCAAACAACAAGAATCCAGTTGTGGCAATCGTTGAGACTAAAAGACCCAACTTTCGGCCGTGAAGACCAGCATAGGTCTTTTGCGTTGGCGATACCTCAGGAGAGACCATGTTGCCTGTTGCGTATGTTGTATCTGAGGGAGGAAATCTTCAAGATTTCGAGAACGTCTGGCTCTGCCAGTAACTATCAAGTTTTGTCAAACACAACGCTGTTGCGCTACTGAAATCAACTTGTGGAGGTCTGGAGAAATAGAGGCAGGAGATATGGGATGAAAGTGATAGAAAACTGGAACGAGGGGGAAGATCTCTTGCTATATACTTGTTGATCTATCCCCCATCCTTTGTCTTACATACTCGGTGGGTCCGCTATCTGTGAATGAAGGAGAGGAGAGTCCACATTTACACATGCATGCTTAATCTTCCAACGTCGGAACGACAGTTTTGGGAAACCCGCATGAAAGCTGCGACCTAGTCATTGAAGTAACCGCCTGCAGCGAAAGTGTCAGTTTGCAGAGCATTTTTACAGGGAATTTCAAGGCTCGTTGGGTGTAGGATCGCGATGCTGTGAGAGTTGAATATTTTCATGTGGAGCACCCAAGCATTGGGCTTGAGATCTGCATCGAATTCATGAGTAGGTAAGACCCATATGAGAAAGCGGTGACTGAATCGTCAAGTAAGAGAAGATTTAGATTCATATGATTGGATAATATTGTCAGAATTAAATGAAGAATCTTACTCTTCGACCATAAGCCAACGGCATTTGCGTGACTAGTTTGCTCTTGTAGGGGTATGAAAAGAGAATTCAATAGACCCACAACAGACGTCACTGGCTGGCTAAAAATGTGTGGAGTTTTCAAGATTTGAGTGTGGGATTGAGGAGGAGATTGTGCCTGTGTGCTTATGAGAAGTGGGACGTTATTCTGATTCTTAATCTTCGGAGTGGAGGTCAGCATGGTTATGGGGAAGTTTTGTTTTCTAGGGACTCATCCCTCTGGAGACATGTGCTTTTCCCCATTGTAATGATTCAGATACCGAAAAACATGAATATAATACAGTTTCAACGAAGTCAATCGGAAAGGAACTAAGGTTCCTAAAAGACGGAAAGGCTTTTTTGTGTTTCTTACTTCGAAGCTTATCCGGTCGGCACATGGGCTAGCGAACTGCTGGCCCGACATTTTAACATCTTGGCCGCCAACAGCTACCTCGGTAAAATTTCACTTGGCATCCATCAATGAAGGGGCGAAATTAACTTTCTTGAATTCCAACATATGTCAAGTCAGGCAAGTATTTTCCAAAGAAAATATTTTCACCAAGCGCGCAAATCATGGTTTCTACGAGAAAATGACGGTGATCTACCCCCAGAAAAATCCTTACATGTCAAACGTTATTTCTACCAAAATTTTACGAAAATGAGATGCAAAATAACGTCATAGAGGAATTCCCACGCCAAGATAGACCGAGGCAGATCCGAGATAATAGATGGGATCTTTTGTGTGTGAAATCTGAAGGACCCTGCAGCGGAAAAGTTCATAGGCGGAGGAAGGATTCAGTGGGTGGCTGGCGCGAAGTTGGTTATACTTTTGGGAATGCAACGGGACGAGCGAGATAGTGAGGAGAAAGGAATTTTGTGGGACGTGTTCCGATGTTGTGGATTTAAAGTGGTTTGGTGGATTTCATGGAGTGAACTCAATGAACTGGAGTAACGGAGTCATCAACAAACGTGTGTATTTGGTTCCACTATGGGTCAATGAGTTCCAACTTTCTCTTTCATAGAGACTAACAAAGCACCTATTTTCTCACACCCCCAATCCCCAGTTCCGAGGATAAAGCGTTGACATGGACGCTAATGACTTTCATGGAGAAGCACGACTCGTATTTAGGTTCTTTATCCGAATCGATAGGCAATAGCGTGTCATTGCAGACAAACGAGCACTTTTTATTGAATTCAAACGCAGGCAAATGCTACTCCATCTTGATGTGTATTCGCCCGTTACGTATACGAAAGGAGGGACTAAGAATGAAGAGAATGAAAGGAAGAAATGTCATTTGTTGCAGCCTTGAACCCTGATTTGTTGTCTAGTTTTTCCGATCATCCCTACTGGTGAAACGCGGAAAGATGGAGGAATTGGGTGGAGAATGGAGACAACTGTGGTGGAGATGCTGGGTCCTCCACAACCTTGAACTTGCATTCAACTTCCCCAATCACAGACCACCAAATCACGAGTTTGAAAACTCCGAAGAACGTGACTGGGTTCATTAATAAGTATCCCGGGAAATCGTCTCATATCATCTCGCGATTTGCTGCGGTGACAATATTCGGGACTGCAGAGCATGATGCATCGCTCGCAGCAGCATGAGAGTCTCTTTGACCCGCGGGTTTTATTGGTAATATCCGAATTCAAGCTACTAACTTGAAATCGGTGTCCTACTCGGTGCGTAGTGGTGTCGATCACAATCATGTGCCAAGGATGTCTATCCTCAAATGGTGAAAACCCAAACAAACATCGTATTTTGTTATCATCAGTTGTCCACCCATAGAAGTGGTTGAAGTCGAGACACACTTGTGTCAGAAACTCAAGATAAGACGAGGAGCGGTCTATGATGACAAAATGGGGGCAACTCTGTATCCCATTATTCGTTCGGGCGGGAAAGTCGGCATAGATGAGTACGAACAGAGTATCAGAGCTCTAAGGCATCACTGATTACAATATCTTTGGCCGGAAAACTCTCCTGAAATAGCAATTGTGGCAGGGACATCGTCGAAAGTTGGGGAGTGAGAAAGGAATGGACGATTTGATTACGGCGGAGAAAGGGTGGAGAATAAGCTAGCAAAATGAGAGTATGAGGTCATTATCTGACTCCATCTTGTCCTCGCATTTATTGATCAGGGAGGGATTACGCGATGGATTCGTGGAGGTCATCACGACAGCTTCGTAATCTAAAACAAATCTTGTCCCGCGAAATTAAAGATTGAACAAGATATAATTCTTACAATCTCGGAACTTCAGAAGAGACTTTTAACCATCGTGAAGTAGAGTCAGTGGTGAGTATAGTCGGAAGGTGTTGCCGTGTCAGTCTGTGTCGTACAATTGATCTGGCTCTTTCCCCTTTGACTTTTCAGATGCAAGTGATCGAGTTGATCACTTCTATACACAGCAACTGTCAACAAACAAACCGATGATCCTATTGAAGGGATTGACCTGCACGAAACCCTAATTATGGATCGCAGGGAAAGCAAAACTGGAAATTATCGGTACCACAACAGAATTCGATTATATTGAATGACAAAGCTAAAAGGGTGAAGGCTTTGAGCTTCAAATATTTACCCTACTAAACTCGAAAGGGTAGGAAGTTTGTGATATGCTCTTTGGTTCTATCATAGGTGATGCATCACGTTATTTTCCTGCCCTTAGGTCCCTTTGATCCTCAGAACCACCTCCACCGCGCATCAACTTCTCGGCCAATGCCTTCGCTTTCTCCCTTGCCGCCAAATTCTCTCTCTCAATAGTGCTTTCTGTTGCATGGCATCTATATTTCCCTTCCCGTATGGCTCTTTTCTCCTGCAACTTTCTGAACTCCTCTTGATCTGCTCTCTGATTAAATGAAAGAGTCTTTCCCATTGAAGACATATCATCCTCTTTGGAATCAGTAGGTTTATCAGCCCACGCGATACCCTTACCTTTCCCTTTTCCATCCCGCCTCAGAATACCTTTTGGCGAAGCTTGCTCATCCTTTTTTGCAGCTTCGACTTCTCCTTGATATTTTGATTTTTCCCTCTCAAACTTGGCGTGGGCTGCTTCGCGTTGCGTACGAATTTTCCATTGAGCTGGAATTTCACTTGGCAGTAGACGAGAATCTCGAATGGCTGATACGGGGAAAACAACGGGTAGATGTTCAAGCTTTGGGTTCGGTTTTAGCTGAGGTTGTGTTACTTTTGGGACTAAGGGAGACATCGGAGGTATTTGGATATTTTCTCTCGGCCGATAGACGAAAGGCCGGTCCTTTTCTTCTTGTGTCGATCGGAAAGCCTGCGGTGGACCATTCTTTTCCGGTGTGTGATTGCCACCATAAAGTTTTTCACGACGAGGAGGTTCCGGTAAGCCACCACTATGAGTTTGTGGATTAGCTCTCGCCCTTGGAAGTGCTTGTTTCATATGCGCCTGGAATGGCGGTGAAGTCCCTTCTGTGTAGGCTGGCCTTCCTCTCTCCTCTGATACTGATAGCTCATGTGCGTATCCATTTTCACCACGGCTCCTAGACTCTGGTCCGTTTCTTGCCGAATGTTGTGATGCGTGTTCTGGTCTGGCATATGCTAGGGGACTCTCATCTCGAAGTCGCGAATCCTTATTCTTGCCGTTATATACCACTTCTATCGTGTTTTCCCAAGCCCGATCTCCATTCACAAAGTCTCTGAACTGTTCTGCACCCTTCAGTACCATCTCTTCAGCAGTTGCGATAGCTCGATTGACACTTTTTAGAAGATTCTCCCGCGTACTTTCATCATCTTGCCTTATTGCTCTTCGATGGCCTTCGCTTGCCACCCATTCTTTGTTCAATTTTCTTCTAGATTCAGCTAGTTGTCTTGTTCCCGTAGGTATCTGTGGCGATCTTCTTCTCCGATTTGATGTAGTTTTTCGATTCTGTCTCCCGCTTTCGCCGTTTATGATATCAATAAGCGACTCCCGGAAAGAATCTTCATCATGCCGGATATTATGCTCAATCCTCTCATCCATTGCATCTCCTGACAAAACTCCTCCAGTCCCCGGGACGTCCTTTGGATATTGCAAATCGGTGATGACTACCTTATCACTACCATCAGCACCAGGTACTATATCGTACTTGATCTCTGCTTTGTTTTCTCTAAAATCTTTTAGTGCTCGATCTTGCCATCGAGCATCGGCTTGCTCTTTTGCAGCTTGACGACGACCTTCCATTTCCAAGGTTTCTTTTTCACGTCGAAGATCTCGCAATTTCATCTTCGTGTCTCGCCAATGTGTAAATTCTCTCGATTTTGATGCTTCGCGCTTCAATGACGTTTTTGAGTTTTTGGGAAGAGGGCTCTTTATGTCAAGAACAGCGTTGCGTAATGAAGACAGGCCCTCTTGTGGTGA